AATCAGTACATTCTTGTTCTTAATGAATTAAAAACTAAACTCACAATGATACTATGTTGTAAATAATATTATTGTGCTTTACAAATAGAAAAGCAAGTTTTGCAAAACTGAATAAATTGCCCATGATAATATAGTAGGTAAGTGGAGGCAGCAACATAATTTGAACTTGGATCAGTCTAATCTAAAACCTACACTCCAATAGGTGGCAGCTCATTCAAATAGCTACTGGCTAATAAATGAGAGAAGGAGACATAAATAGTTTACTTGGCCAAAGCAATGAAGAAGTCTACAGTAGCCAATATCTGGGAATCTGTGTACAGTGGTCTAGCATCAGGGAAGCTGTCAGTTTTGATTCTCTCACTCTTTGGAGGGGAGTATTCTATACTGAGTAGTATTTCCTATGCCTCAATTTTGTACTCTCTTAAGAGTATATATTGAGAGTATAAGATGGTAGATGTATAGTACTTAGAACAGTGCCTAACCTATAGTATGGGCTAAGTAAATGTTAGCTAGTCCACAAGTATTTATTAAGGGCCTGGTAAGTATAAGGCACATGAATTACAATAATGAAGCATGTTCGGAACATAGCAATAAAAGTAGTTCGATTATTCATGGTCTAAGAGGGCTATAGGTATTACGTACATGAGTTCATGTGCCGTATATTCTATGTGCTAAGAAAGGAGAACATAAATCAGAAGGATCTCCCTTTCCCTAGCGGGATTTCAGCCCCTTGGGTTGGAATTTCAATAACTATATCCTATTATTTGAGGGCAGTATTGGTTGGGCACACAAAAAAAGGAGATTTGGTCTCAATATTTTAGCCATAGAAGATGGAGATCCTATGGGGAGATGGGATTCTGAGAATTAGGCAGAAGCCTGGTGATCAGAACCAGATCAAAGTCAGGGTCATCCAGCAGCAAGGTGCTGGGATAGAGTCCCAGCATGCATGAGCAGGTAGAGCAGCAAGGGAGAAACTTCCCCTATGGCAGATCTTGCAGTTTTCTGAGACTCCGACACCATGGCTGAACCCAATTACTCTCCGAAACTGGGTCATCATCCCAGGTTGCACAGCAAGCAGACTGGCAGCCAAGGCCCCACAGATGTGGATATCAATGGGAAAAAGCACTGGAAAAGTTTTATTCAAGTCCTGAGAACAATCAGATTCCCTTCAGGTAACTTTACAAAGCAGTGCTATTAACTAGTTAGAAGTGCCACAGGCATTTCCCAGACAGCCAGAGAAATGAAGACAAGAAAGAGTACTGCTTTACAGCCATCAGAAGGGCAACCCGTGCCTGCCCATGCTGTTTGGTCATTAGTTTGTGTGGTCGGTGAACACTGGCAGACCATGACTGTTAAGGAATGAATGTTTTATGGGAATTTCAGAAACTCTCCTGGTTTTATTTCTGTCCAGGAAGAAGATCAAGACCCCCGTGGCATCACCCCCACCCCCATCCATTTGCCTTGAGGGACCTATAATAAGGCTGCCCTTGGGCTTTGGGTAGCTGTGAGAAGTTATGCTACTTCCACACCTCATCTCCTGCAAGCCTGTGCAACAAAAGAAGGAAAGCTCTTGCTTCCTAGCACATGTGTGGGCTTTGTCATTAACAAACAGACAGAGAGGACTGCAGAATTATTTTCTTCTAGGACCCAGAATAAGAATTGATAGAACTTCCTAGCATTTCGTTTTGCCGAAAAGTTCAAAATATTTTAGAAACATCTGATTTTTCATTTAAAAATAATTATTAACTCTTTTCGTTCCTAGAATTACCACTTTAAAAAGCAAGTAATGCAGGAAATGGATGCTAGCAATTTGAAAGGGTTTACTCTGCCAAAACGCAAACAGAACAGGAACCAATCGTTGGATCAGACTTCATGGTCATTAATCCTCATGTTTGCTCTCTGATCTGACTTTGTGGCATATATTAGCATCTCATGTTACTTACAAAGAAGTAAAGCAGGAAGAGAGTAAATGGCTTGATGAATATATGATATTTAGGTCAGCAGAGTAACCTGGAAAAATGTTCATGATATTCTCCATTTAGTATTCAATGCCTTCTTGCAACCTTCAGGTGCACCCAATCTCCCTCCTCTGCAGTCCATTCTCTTGACACACCAAAGAGGTTGCTTCCTTTTCATGGCCCTGAGCCAATTGTCCATCTCTTTATGCACAATGTAGGCCATTCCATAAAATGGGTTGATTTGGATATAATTGAGTCATCCTTTCCCCCTCAACCTGCCCCTTATTATACCAGAAGATTTCTTAATTATAGGTGAAAAATGTGAATTCTTCAATGTGAATTGTTTTCCCCAGAAATTACAATTGACTCTTAAGTACAATTGATCCTTGACTAAGTGGGGGTTAGGGATACCGATGCCCGCTCCGGTCAAAAATCTGCATTTAACTGAAGTCTGCTCTGAGTGTATATGGATTTCCAACTATAGATAAAAAATTTTACAATAAAGACTGACAGAAGGGAAATTTACAAAATAAACAGTGAAAAAGAGAAGAAAATGGGCAAATGTAGCAAGTCCTCAGTCTTTCTAAGAAAAAGAAATAAGTGATGAGAACAAGTTACTGGGGCAGGCACTCCATCTTGGTACTAAATGTCCTCTGTTAGCCCAAGAAGGATGGATGCCAGAAGCAGAATGCAAAATGTAATTTTTATATCCAGTGTATTGTATGTGGGGGCATTTTTTATTATTATGAAATATTTTGAGCATAGAAAATAGTTTAGTGAATAATTTAAGGAACAAACCATTACAGTAGTTACTCCCTCTATCACCTGCAGTTTAGATTTCTGCGGTTTAAGTTATCCATGGTCAACTGTGGTCCAAAAATATTAAATGGAAAAATTTCAGAAATAAACAATTCATAAGTTTTTAAATTGAGTGCCATTCTGAGTAAGCATGATGAAATCTCGCACCCTCTCACCAGGGACGTGAATCATCCCTTTATCCAAAGTATCCACTCTGAAACTGCTCCCTGCCTGTTAGTCAGTTAGCCATCCTGATAATTAGATCAACTGTCACCGTAACGCATGCTTGTGTTCAAGTAACCCTTATTTTACTTACTAATGACCCCAAAGCCCAAAAGCAATGATGCTGGCAGTTCAGATATGCCAAAGAGAAGCTGTAAAGTGCTTCCTTTAAGTTAAAAAGGTGAAAGCGTTTTACTTAATAATGAAAGAAAAAAATTATGTGCTGAGGTTGCTAAGTCCTACAGTAAGAATAAATCTTCTGTCCCTGAAATTGTGAGGAAAGAAAAAAAAATTATGCTAGTTTGCAGAGAGAGAGACTACACTCACATAATATGTTACTATATATTTTTCTAATTGTTCCATTTTATTATGTTATTGTTAATCTCTTACTGAGCCTAACTTATAAATTAAACTTTGTCATAGGTAAATATGAGTTCAGTACTACCCATGGTTTCAGGTATCCAACGGGGGTCTTGGGAAGCATCCCCTGTGGTTCAGCGGGGACTACTGTATAGAAACAGTCGACAATCCCTGTATGCCTTCCAACACTTCATTACTCTCTGTATCTTCCCCCTATCTTGAACTTGATGTTCATTATTCATTGCCTGTTTTTATGTAAATTAATATATCCATAAATAATATGTATTATTTTTAGATATTTTCAGCTTCATAAAAAATGGAGATAGATTTTGCTTGTCTTTTTATATGATTTAAACATTAGATATGTTTTATATGATTTGAACATTATATATTTTTAAGATTTAAACATTATACAACTTGAATGTTTATATGTGGCTATTATATATAATATATATGTTTTTATATATAACATGTGCATACATATATATAACATGTATATATGTATGCACATATTATATATAATATATATATAGCCCTAACTCATTCATTTTAACTACCATGTGGTATTCCAAGATATGAGTAACATATTATTCATCAATTTTATAACTGGGCATTAAAGCTGTATGTGGAAAATTTTCTGGTTATCAGTCTAGAAGATGACTTGCTGTTTAATAATGTGACTTAGTGAGGTTGAAAACTAGTACTTAGTAAGTAGAAACCTAATAAAATTTTACCAATTTTTCTCCAAAATGGTTCTATCGTTTTATATTCTAACCCACAATATGTGAGTTAATTTCTCTACATTTTTGATAACATTTGTTATCACCAGATTTCTAAGTTTTGCTACACCAATGAGTTCATTTTATCTTTAATTCGCTGGTTATTAGTATGATTGAATATATTCTATATTTATTGACCATTCAGATTTCCTCTTCCATGAATTGCTTGTTCACGTCCTTTATCCATTTTTCTATTTGTTATTTTCTTATCTATTTAGAGGATTTCTTTATACATTCAGGTACTAATCATTTGTCACTCATCTACGTAAGTATGGCCTATTCTTAAATAACTGATTATATCTCTGAATTTTGCCTTGTACAAAACTTGTAACGAGTAAGTTAAAACTAAGACATAGATAAGAAAGTTGAAGTTTCCATTAATCTGTGGGTTCAAGAAAAGCACACACTAGTGCCACTTTTTCACCATTTCCTTATTTGTTCCTCACCCCCCAAATTCAGAGTTAAGTATAGGCCACTGACATTTGTGCTTGATAATGTCTGTGCTTGATTGCAGAGTGGGTAGTTTAGAATATTGGTACTGTATAAGGGCCAATTTTGAGAGGGATTAACCTCATATTGTTAGATCTAATAGGTTGCTTATCTTCCACTGAAATAGAAACCGTTAGATACAGAGTGCATCTCTGGCAGTGACTCCTCATAAAAGCACACAGAATCACTCCTAGGCAGGGGCATGAGGCATGCAGGAACGATCTAGTCCAACTTACCTCTCAAATATTTTACTACCAGGACACAAGTTCCTAGACTCAGGTAACCAAGGAAAACATGAGTAGAATAATGTCATAATGTCGGGTTGCATGAACATGTTGCCTTTGGAATCCCGGTATGAAATCTTAAAATAATTATGGCTTTCTTTTTCTTTCAGAGGTGTGGTGAACTCTTGTTTGAAAACCCTGATCAGAATGTCAAATGTGTTTGCATGCTAGGTAAGGCTTCTCATTTTAGATATATTAAGCATGTTGATGTCATGTGGACTTATTGTCGTTCTGGTGCCTTACTGACTGTCTCTCGTTCCATATTGAGGAGGCCTATATGCTTTTTATAGATTTATAGACATCTATAATAGATTTATATATGGAACACTTGATAAAAAACATTTTAATTTTAGTAACTGTCAATATGTTATGAACCACACTTCTTTTTCTAATTTTTTCTTAGATCATCAGCATCACATAGAACAGGGTGTTTTGTATTCAGGAAACAATGATGAAAAAGTAAGAAGGATTATGTAATTTTTTAAAATTTATTTATTTTCAGTTACAGTTGTCATTCAATATTATTTTATATTAGATTCAGGTATACAGCATAGTGGTTAGACATTTATATACTTTACAAAGTGATTCTCCCCAATTAGTCTAGTACCCAACTGACACTATACATGGTTATTACAATATTATTGCTTATATTCCCTAAGCTTAAATTTACATCCTCGTGTCTATTTCATAACTACCAAATTGTACTTCCTAATCCCTTCACCTTTTTCTCCTATCTCTCAATTTCCCTCCCCTCTGGCAACCATTAGTTTGTTTCTGTCTTGTTTGTTCATTTATTTTGTTCTTTAGATTCCACACGTAAGTGAGATCATATGGTATTTGTCTTTCTCTATTTGACTTAGCATAATACCTGCCAGGTTCATCCATGTTGTCAAAAATAGTAAGATTTCATTCTTTCTTATGGCCAAGTAATATTCCATTGTCTATATGTACCATTCTTTATCCAATGGGCACTTTTCATAGTTTGGCTATTGTAAATAGTGCTGCTGTGAACATAGGGGTACATATATCTTTTCAAATTAGTGTTTTGGATTTCTTTGGATAAATACCCAGAAGTGGAATTGCTGGATCATAAGGTAGTTCTATTTTTAATTGTTCTGAGGAACCTCCATATTGCTTTCCATAGTGGCTGCACCAATTTGCAATCCTACTAACAGTGCACAAGGGTTTCCTTTTCTCCACATCCTCACAGACGCTTGTTTGTGAATTTATTGATCATGGTCATTCTGACAGCTGTGAGGTGATATCTCCTCGAGGTTTTAATCTGCATATCTCTGATGATTAGTGACATTGACCATCTTTTCATATGGCTTTTGGCTATCTGTATGTCCTCTTTGGAGAAATGTCTATTCAGCTCTTCTGCTCATTTTTTAATTAGATTGTTAGTTTTTTTGGTGTTGAGTTACATGAGTTCCTTATAAATTTTGGATACTTACTCCTTATCGAATATTTCACTGGGGAATGTCTTCTCTCATTCAGTAGGTTGTCTTTTCATTTTTTTAATGGTTTCCTATGCTATGCAGAAAGTTTTTAGTTTGATGTAGTCCTATTTGTTTATTTTTTCTTTTGTTTCTCTTTCTCAAAGAGATATATCAGAAAAAAAAAATTACTAAGAGCAATTTCAGAGAGTTTTCTTCTAGGAGTTTTATGGTTTCAGGTCTTACATTTAAGTTTTTAATCCATTTTGAGTTTATCCTTGTGTAGGGTGTAAGAAGGTGGTCTGCTTTCTTTTTTGTTGTTTGTATGTGTCTGTCCAGTTTTCCCAACATCGTTTATTGAATAGACCAACTTTACCCATTGTATATTTTTGCTTTCTTTGTCATAGATTTATTATAAGTGTGGGTTTATTTCTGGGCTCTCTATTCTGTTCCATTTATCTATATCTCTGTTTTTATGCTGGCACCATGCTATTTTGATTACTATAGTATTGTAGTATAGTTTGATATCAGGTATTGTGATACCTCCAACTTTGTTCTTCTTTCTCAAGATTGTTGTGGCTATTCGGAGTCTTTATGGTTCCATGTAAATTTTAGGATTATTTGTTCCAGTTCTGTGAAAAATGCCATTGATATTTGGTTAGGGATTGCACTGAATTTATAGATTGCTTTGGGTAGTATGAACAGTTTAGTGATGTGAATTCTTCCTATCCATGGACATAGTATATGCTTCCATTTATTTGTATCTTCAATTTTTTTCTTCAACGTCTTATAATTTTCAGAGTTTAAGTCTTTTACCTCTTTGGTTAGATTTACTTCTAGGTATTTTATTTTTTTGATGCAATTGTAAATGAGATTGTTTCCCTGTCTTTTTCTGATCATTTGTTATTGCATAAAAATGCAACCAATTTCTAAATATTAATTTTGTATCCTACTACTTTGCTAAATTCATTTATCACTTCTAATAGGTTTTTATTTTGGTGAAATCTTTAGGATTTTCTCAATATAGAATTATCACATTGTAATTCTTAAACTAGAGATGATAAGCTACATAAGTAAACATTAAAAATTTACATACAATGCAAAGCTCTTACTTCTAATGTCTGAGAGAAATACTAACTAATCTGAAGTCAGCACAATTACCCACACTGCATTTGTAATAAAATTGCTGCATTGTAATGAATAATCACTTGTACTTGTGGGATGATATATCTTTTATACATATCTTTTGTGCTTTTCATATAATGCTTTTCACAAACTCATCATATTCTCTGAAGAAATGAAGTTGATATTATTTTTGTCATTATATATATTAGAAAACTGATACAGAAAATATAAGTGATACACTTAACCTCAAAGTAAAAACAGTCCAAATCAAGTACTAAAGTTTCTAAACTGTAAAGTTTTAGGTCTAGTGTTTAGATCTTATTTAAGCCACTAAACTATGTCCAATTAATTATAGTAATAGAACTTTCAGTTAATTATAATAATAGAATTTTTGAGTAATTACAGTAATAGAAGAAAACAGTAGTGTGGATAAACAGCAATAATCTTTCAATTTAACTTTCACCAAAAGTTCACCCTTGTCTTTTCCAACCTTGAACCATACTCCTAAGCAAAGAGCAAAGTGATTCATTTGCGCTTCCTCCATTTTCTCTGGCTACCTGATATGTTAACAGCCTAGGTTATTGTTGAGATGACCCAAAAGCAGACAGCAAGATAAAGAGAGGCAAAGGAAGTTCTTGATTATTTATAATTTAAAATAATCAGGTAATAAATAATCAAAGGTTGCATATAACTTAAAAACAAACCAAAAACAAAAACAAAAAACAGACACCATATTTTCCTAGCCTTCTGATCCTTCTTATTTTCTTGTACGAGTGTTTTAAACCTCTCTCTTGAAGCTCTTATATGTTTTATTTTTTAATTAAGATGATGGCTTTATAGTAACATATTCATTGGAAAATAAACATTTTACTGGAAGTACATGAACAATAAACATAGTATAGCATCCATACACCCATTTCAAATATCCAGTATTCCTTTCCCTTAACAATGAAATGCGACAAAAATACTAATAGTTCAGGGTACAAACTAGATAGATAGATAGATAGATAGATAGATAGATAGACAGATGATAGATAAGCAGAAAAATTTTCCTTTGTCCACCCATATGTCCCAACTTTGGGTTTGGGAACCACCTCACAACCACATCAGATCTACTCATCAATTAACTTATTTAATTTTCACAATAACAAGATGTTATTTTATTTTACAGATAAGAAAACTGAGGCAAATAATTAGATACTGTAGGTATCTTAATGTCACTAAAATATTATCTGATTATAGCATATACCTGATGTAGTAACTTGAATAGATTTTCAACTCATAATGATTGTATGCACATGAGCACATCTTTTACTTTGATTAAATTTTACTTTGTCTTGGCTCCAATGTGAGTTGACTGATTAACTTATAGCTAGAACAAGGACAGCAATAAACTGTCTACTCTTGCCTGTAGATTAACTTGACTTAAAGAAGGATCAATCATCTTTCCATCTCTTCTAGACTACATGGTATGGTTTATATAGCTGCCAGAATATATTTCTAGCTACCAAATGCATCCCCAATAAATCTGCCAGATTGCCCCAAATTCCAAAATTAGAGATATAGTTTATGTAAATCAATTTTGTATTACTACTACTGTCATACTAATTATAATGAATTGAGCACTTAAAATGGGACAAGTGAAGTCCATCTTAAGCACTTTACATAATTAAATCATTTATTCAAAGTAAATTAAGACATGGCCTCACTTTTAAAAAATATATATCTTTGGTAATGGCAGTTTATTATTAAGTTTGTAGACTTCATTACTTCATTAGATTTCTCTCTTTTTAGTGATATGGGACTAAATGATACAAAGGAACCATGAGAATGGCATTTTTTATTAGTTTGAGGAGATGAAATAGGAAGAATAATTGTACATTTTACCTTTAAAAATGGCAAGTAAATATTTGAGTGTCAAAGATAATACTATGTCTAATGAGCTTAAGTTACTCATTTAGTGAAAATTGTGCCCTCAAGAATTTCAGATCTAAAAAGGCTTTGACTTTTTCCTACTTACCTTTTTAAGAAGATTACTACAAAATTTAATTGAAATATTTACAAAGTCCTTTGAAATCTTAGATGAAAGGCATTACCAAAATAAAATTATTTTGGATATCAATACACATGGATCAACACACCATTAGCATGTGTTCACCTGGAGCTCAAAGGCTGCTGTTTCATAGCAATAGGTACTGTGTAAGATGATAAGAAAAAAGTAAAGTTGAATGGTTTATTCTCTTAAAACAAACAAGAAACATTCAAGTTGTGGACATGGAATTCACTAAAACTAAGACCACATCTTGTATTTCAGCAAGAAAGGGCATCTATACTAACACAGCAACAGCAAAGCACCACTTCGCATTGTCTGAGGTGTTAATTTCTTGCTACCTTTAAGAAGAACCTGTGATTGTGCCTTTATGAATACCTGGAGAATTTCTTAATAAAACTTTCTATCTTCAACAGTATAGGATAAAGATTCTCTGATATTTTAAGGGCCTATTACATTTCGAAGTGTTGCCAATCAGAAATGTAGTTGGCATTTTTACAGGTAACATATAATAGCGAATAAATCAAAATTTCCAAACAAGAAAACTAAATATGTAAAAT